ACTCTTTCCTGCCTATGCAGTGAGTCGGACTCGATCTATTGAGGTCTCTTCCGACCCTAACATCTATGAATCTATGAAAGTTCAGAAAGCAAAGCAGTAAATTGGGCAGGAAGCACAGGGTAGAAAGCAGAAAGTGGAGCAACAGATTGGGCAAGGAAAGGAGATTGGAGTAGTACTCAGGGAGGATGCAGGACTAATTTGTGGAACACCTGCCAAAAATTTTGGCCCCTACTAGTCCGTCCCATAAATGTAACAAGAATAAATAGTCTTATTATACTGACCACCACGTTACAATGATGAAGCAGTTAGCAGTAGCATATTGAAATGGACCTAGAAATATACACTTAATTGTCCTTTTCATGCAGTGTAAAATGAACAGCTATCTGTGATCTTTTGTGAAAACTCCTACAGAACATAAATATATGAATAACACAACAAATCAGTCTTCTGATACTCTAATAACTTATAGAGGTATGTTCATACAGCACTGCATGGTAACAATTATGGATTAGTTTACATGATGGATGATAACCACTTCAACATACTGTAATAGCTTGATAGAATAAAATGTATAATCAAAATGAATAGCATTGTGTGACAGATTCAAAACATAATGGCAAAAAGTTTGATTGAAATAATAGTAACAATTACAGCGAAATAAAAGTGATGTTGAATTAAAAGCGAAAGGTCACTTATCCTAATAAGAACTGAAATCTAAATAAGTATTAACAGAAGTGTCATGCAGAGGACAGATGTTGCTCAAAGGTAGTTATGCTGAAGGAGACTGATGATACAGTTAAAAGCCTGTTGCTACCCTTCCTGTATTATTTAAGCAACAAAATCAAAGTGGAAGAGAGATTATTTCAAATGAGATTAGAAATGAGATGGAGGGTCAAGGAAGGAAAGGTGCAAATAAGATGTTCTAGATGATGGGATCTGTGGAGGGCAAAATTCTCAATGACAGTAGTGATATTGTATGGAATGGAAGGGAGGAAAGAAGTGCTGTTAGACTTGCCATGGGCAGACAAGGTTTTTTGGGTGAATCTGATATCTTTTATTAAGCCAACTTAAATAGTTGGGGAAAAAAATTAGCAAGCTTTCGGGTTTAAAAACCCTTCGTCAGGCTAAGGAAGCCTCTGCAGTTGATGTGTGCTCTTCCTAGATGGAATGAATAGTAAAGAAGCCAGAGGCTGGGCTGGTATGCATGCAAGACAGGCAGTCAGTGAAGATGTAGATTGAGGAGGCAGTGGGTGAGAGAGAGGCTGGGTGGAGGGGGGAGAGAAAAAGGGGGTGAATGTAGCAGTTAAATAGTGGAGAGGTACCTGGGGAGATGGGTGTCAGGCAGGTTTATGATGGGTCATAAATCCAGTATCTATATTTAGTCCATGATTTTTTGTATGCAGGAGGTTGATGAGGTGAAGTTCATAGGCTCATCTCTGAGAAGTGTTTTGTAAGTTCCCTTTGAGGATTAGAATGGACAGGTTGGAGAGAGAGGGGTTTTCTTGTGAGAAATGTGCCCCCACAGGTAATTGGGTATTCTTGTCTTTGATAGATTTCTGGTGTGCATTCATTCTGGCGCGCAGTTGTTGTTTCGTTTCTCCTGTATATTTTCTCTCAGGGCATTTGGTGCATTGGATGAGATATATTACATTTCTGGAGGTGTAGCTGTAAGATGCAGGGATGCTAATGGCTCTGTTGTGGGGTGTAGTAATTGTGGGGGTGGTGGAGATGTGTTGGCAGGTTTTGCATTTCTTCTCATGACATGGTCTGGATCCTTTTGGTGTGCTCTGGGCTTGAGGAAGTTTGCTTCTGGTGATGAGGTTAGTGAGGTTTGGTGCTTGTTTGAGGGCTAGGATGGGTAGTTCCAGGAAGATCTCTTTAAGAATAGGGTCTCTTTCTAGTATGGGTTGCAATTGTTTGAGGATTTTTCATATGGGTTTGAGGGAGGGGTGATATGTCATAACCAGCAGCGTGCAATTTGTGGGGGGGTTTCTTCTGTATTCCAGCAATTCTTCACATGGTATCCAGGTAGCTCTTTCAAACGTGCAATCTCTCTCTCTGGAGGAGTGTCCTTGTTGGGGAAAGCCTTTTTAAGATTGGTGAGGTGAAATCCCAAGTGTTCTCCTCAGTGCAAAATTGTTGGTATCTGAGGGCTTGGCTGTGTATCACAGGTTTCTTGGTGTTTTTTAAGGTGATTTCTGGTTCTGTGCAGATATGTATATTGGTCTGTGGGTTTCTTGTATAACGTGGTCCGTATTTTACCATTCTGAATACTGATCATTGTGTCTAAAAAGGAGATGTTGGTGCTGGAGTATTCAAGAGATAGTTGGATGGAGGGATGATGATTGTTAAATTTTTTGATGGAACTCATTCAGAGATCACAGGTTTTCAGCCCAAATGATGATGATGTCATCAATATATCTTAAGTAGAGCAAGGGTTTGATGGTGCAGTCCTTGAGGAGTTCTTCTTCCAGGTGGCTAATAAAAAGGTTGGCATACTGTCGGGCCGTTTTGTGCCCATAGCTGTGCCCATGATCTGGAGGAGGTGTTGGTTATTAAAAGTGAAATTGGTGTGTGTGACGATGAAGTGTGTAAGGTCAGTAATATATTTGGGTCTGTACTCTGAGTTGCCATCTTGCTCTCGTAGGCAGGGCCTATCACGGGGAGGGGGGCGCCAGGAGGGCCATTTGGCCTGGGCCTCTCATTCACAGAGGGCCTCAAATTTAGACTTTTGACGTTATCTCCAAATGAGGTTATACATACAGACACAGAGATCCACTGACAGGATTGAAAGAAGAAGAAAAAAGCTAGAAAAGCACTTGTTAAATAAAAAAAGGAACATTTATTACTAATTATTGCATTGTATTTTGAGCCTCTCTCGACCTCTGAGAGGGCCTGCTCGTAGGTATGTAATGCAGGTTTGGATGCCATCCCGGTGTGGGATGTTGGTAAGCTTGTAACATCCATGGTGGCAAGGAAGACCTGACAGGAGTTCAAAGGAAACAATCGGAGAATAATGTGCCTTGTTTTACATTATCCTGGGTAAAGACCTTTCAGTTCAAGCCTGTATGTGAAAATGATGCTCCATGTTAATTGTAGGAATTTTCTGGGTTGTACCTTGCTGAAGGTGTGCAACATCAGTTGGTCTCAGTTGTTACAGATTTGCTTTTTCATTTGAACTGTCTGGTAGCAGTATATCAGATACCAACAAGTTATGTGCATGTTCTTAGCTTAGTCGTTTTTTTAAGACCAAGTCTGAACATGACATCACTACAGCTCTATATACAGACAAGGTTTTCTTTGACCAAATTCGCTGAAGAATATGCACTGCCAAAAGTAATCTATGTATATTGCAAATATTTATTGCTTTTGGTTTTTATTTTCTCTCTTGTATTGGCATAAATAAGACCCATTGGATTTGACGTAGCAATTTACAAGTTTAGAACAGTACAACCAAGTAGAAGCTACTCAAAGCCAAGAACCGTTCTGTTTCTTATGGCATTTTTTGGCTTGTCCATAAATGAAGGACCCCACATTTGCTTTTTATATCTTTGGAAGATTGCTCCTTACATATTATCTTTAATCTTCCCATCAAAAAGATTAAACTTTATTATTGTTTGTTTACCAATTTGCCTTCAGTTGCTATTAGAACTATCATTTGCAGTTACTAACAAAATGTAATTGCATATTAAGAGCTGGTCATTCCAAGACTGATGTTTCCAAAAGTCCCAGATGTGGATTTACATAATAGACCTTAAACATATATCAATTATATTTTAAATATCTATAAATATTCTGTGTATATATCCAATAGGCAAATTTGGCCTAAGGTTAAAGCCATTTATAGACTACTCTGTGTACATGCATGCAAAATTTTAAGACCTGTTTCTACTGAGAATACTGGTGTTTGGTATTTTTTTAATACCCTGGGCTTTGCTTTTCTTAAGAATCTTATTTTAAGATGAGCTAGATAAGATCACTACTTAGTAGGATGTAGAGGGTGTCCAAGTGGCCACACCAGGGTGGGTCTGAGTGCTGCGCACTTAGCGGGTGTCTCACTCCCCTATTTTCATATCTCCCCTGCCATGAGTTGGTGCACGTGTATGAGGCAGTAGTACCTGATTGTATAGGGCTTGCTGAGACCAGTGTAAATCACACCACCCCACACCCTCAAATACCCACAACACCCACCCTCACACACCCACTTCTTCTCTCCCTCCCCGCCCCCCCCCCCCAAATGTACAAGAGTAAGGCTTTATTTTGAGCTGTTATGCAATTACCTCTATATACACTACTCAACCCCACACGCACACAAATCAGGACAAAAAAATATTTTTGAAATAAAATTAAAATGTGTTATAGTAGGTGTTTTATTTTGAATACATTGATTATTTTATTTTATTTTTTTTATCTATAATATGTGAAAAGGATATCTTCTAAAAGATTGTGGGTGCAGCCCTTGACAGATCACCAAAACTCGTTAAATGACCCACCAGCCAAAATAATTGCCCACCCCTGTTCTAATGTATTTCAGAAGTGGAGGTATTATGACAGTAAAGTGAAAAAATGTGTAAAGAGGCAAAAGACTTAGACTGATATTCTTTAAATATATTTATATATGAAATGTGCATATATATTCATGATTAAATAAATAAATATAAATTGTTTAAATATATATTTATATACATTGGGTATGTATCATTTTGTTACCTGTATTACATTTAATAATGTCTAACAATTATTCCACATGTGACTACCCTTGTTGTTATCAGAGTAATGACAATTTCTAAAGGAGTTTAGGTGAAATCTGAGCCTTATTAAATTTTCAAACGTGCAAGGATTTCATAGAAGACAACTTGATGATTTATTAATTCTTGTAATAATCTCTCTACAGCTGACAGCTACTTTACGAAACTTGGCTGACTTACGTCAGTCAAGATGCCAGCTCCTGTGCAGTGATGCCATTTCAGAGCTCTGTGAAGTCTTGGAGCAGCGTATAAGTGATAAAGATGTGTGTACCAATATCGCCAGGATATTTAGGTATGAAACACTGTTTTAATAATCATAAAAAAAAAATCCAGAAAACCTCTCCTTTTGGGGATCTATGCTTTTACCCATTAAAGTTAATGGCTGCACAGCCAGCAATTTGAAATGGGCAGGCTCAGGCACTTCTATTTGAAGTGATAGAATCATAAAAAATAGGGTTGGAAGGGACCTTAGGAGGCCATCTAGTCCAACCTCCTGCTCAAAGCAGAACCATCCCTAGCTAGATCATTCCAGGCAGGGCTTTATCAAACCAAGCCTTAAAAACTCTAAGGATTCCACCACCACTCTAGGTGTAACCTGTTCCAGTGGGACACTACTCTCCTAGTGACTGTGTTTTTCCTAATATCCATCTTAAACCTCCCTTGCTGGAATTTGAGACCATTGTTCCTTGTCCTGTCATCTGTTACCCCTGAAAACAGCCTAGTTCCATCCTTTGGAACCCGCCTTCAGGTAGTTAAAGGCTGCTGTTAAATCCAGCCCCCCCAAGTCTTCTCTTCTGCAGACTAAATAAACCCAGTTCCCTCAGCCTCTCCTCATAAGGCATGTGCTCTAACCCCAAAACCATTTTCGTTGCTCTCTGCTGGACTCTCCAACTTGTCCACATTTTTCTATAGTAGGGACAAAACTAGGCACAGTATTCCAGATGTGGCCTTACCAGTGCAAAATAAAATGAAATAATTACTTCCTTCAACCTGTTGGCAATGCTCCTACAAATGCTGCCCAGTATGCGTTTCGCCTTCTTGGCAACAAGCACACACTGCTGACTCATATCCATCTTATTGTCCACTGTAACCTCCAAGTCCTTTTCTACAGAGCTGCTGCTTAGACAGTCAGTCCCCCGGCTGTAGCAGTGCATGGGATTCTTTCGTCCTAAGTGAAGGACTTTGCACTTGTTCTTGTTGATCCTCATGAAATTTCTTTTCGTTCAATCCTCCAATTTGTCTAGATCACTCTGAATCCTAGCTCTACCCTCCAATGTATCTATTGCACCTCCCAGCTTGTTGTCATCCATGAGCTTGCTGAGAGTGCAGTCCATCCCATCTTTCAGATCATTAATGACAGTATTGAACAAAACTGCTCCTAGGACTAACCCCTGGGGCACTCCACTTGATACCAGCTGCCAGCTAGACATTGAGCCCTTTCATAGATTTCATAGACATTAGGGCTGGAAGGGACCTCGGAAGATCATCGAGTCCAGCCCCCTGCCCAAAGGGCAGGAAGTCAGCTGGGGTCATAGGATCCCAGCAAGATAAGCATCCAGTTTCATCTTGAAGGTGTTCAATGAAGGCGCTTGAACCACCTCCGGTGGCAGGCTGTTCCAGACCTTGGGGGCTAGGACAGTAAAGAAATTCTTCCTTAGAAGAATTTCTGCAACTAAAGATGCAAATAGGTACCTAAGCAGGTTTGGCATTCAATGTCCATTGAGAGGAGATGTGCCTGCCTAATTTAGGCACTTCTGCAAATTATGTTAGGTCCCTGTCTGCATCTGTAGGTGCCAAAGGACCTTTGTAAATCAGCTCCTCTAAATGCCTAACTTATCACTAACATGCATACCTTCCTGATGCGTGCCAGCAATTGCAGTAACTTCAGGTGAGCTGCAGATGCACTTTTGAGATTCTGGACCTTCTTTTTGGGAAAGGTGGGCCCTTTCTTTTCACATACTTGGCTTTTCTGAGTTATCTTGGCCAAACTGTGCTGAAATAATGAGGCATAAACCATATGAATGAACAATACCATCAGCACTGAGTACATGGGGGCCTGAGGGTCCTGGCCCTGCCTTGGGAAGAGGGTGTCAGGGCTCAAGCTGAGGAGCTTTAGTTAAAGGACTTTGAAGTGCGGGGATGCTGAATACACAAGACACCAAGGCTGCGGGAGTGTGCTAATTAGTATGCTCCAGCAGACTTGATTAATCGAGTTCATATTAATTGCATATTAATTGAGTCTGCTCCAATGTGCTGTAATTACAGGGTGTGAGAGAAAGCATCCTGCATGTGGTTTCCACGTGTCCATCATCTTAGTCCCCATCCGGCAAAAATAAAAGCGCCTATGAGCAATACAATCGGTCCATGCGAGAGCCAGCAAAATCTCCTTGTTCTGCTGCGTGGGCACGTGGTTTGTTCGTGGCATGGGCTCTGAGGAAAAGTTTCTGCTAATGTTTACAGTGTTTTGGCTGAAATAATTGGTCCCAGTTTCATAATACCTGACCTCTTCAGCTTGCCTTCCTAAGCTGTAGACACAATAACTAAAGGAATCCCGCTCAAAAGGAACCATAGTGGGATAGAAAACCAGAACTAATACATTTATCAAACACAGAAACATTGTACACTAGATTTGATTTCCGAGTGAGATCATTCACAAACTTTCATTAATGCTTTATATAGCGGAATGAGAAAAATCCCTGTTTTTCTTGGGCTTCAGTGGTATTTGACATTATTTTTCATAAATCTGATGGTTTGTCAAGTATTGGACTTATAGAACTGATCCAGGACTGAATATATTGTAACAGATCTCAAGCCTTAAATCAGGTGATTTGTCTCTTTAGTTTATCCTAATTGCCCTGTGTCAGGTTAAAATTAAAAACTTTTCAGGATTCCTTTTATAAATATGCACGCCACAAAACAGCAACAGGGAAATCTGTTTGACCAGATTTAACCTTAGAAGCTAGCTTGAAGGATGAGGTGCAAGTGCAAATTGTCCAAAGAGCAAAATAAAATTCAGTTCTTCCACAGATGCAACTCCATTTATTTCTGTGTGGTTTCACCAGACACGGCTAGCAAGATAAAGCTGTAGTGTCCAGGGCCCGTGCTGTTCAGATGATGCGCGGTGGCAAGGCCAGCAATTGTGTTTGAAAAAGGACTTTTTATTGTCCTTGATGCTCAAAGCTAGTTGGAGTTCAGTTGCAGCCTTGGCTTTCCTGGTCTGCTCCCTACAGGACTGGACCAGTGCAGAATAATCCTCCTTGGAGGTGACTCCCATCCTCCATCCTTTGTAGGCCTTTCTTTTTAGCCTCAGGAGGTCTGCTAGGTCCCTGGAGAGCCAGGGGGGCTGCTGTGCCCTCTTGCTGCCTTTCCTCCGAGATGGAATAGACTTAGTTTGTGCATTGAGGATCGCTCCCTTGAGGAGCAACCACTCTTCTTGAACTCCCCTTTCTCCGTGGTCTTGGTCCCTTAGGGCCTCACTGACAAGCCTCCTGAGCTTGTCAAAGTCGGCTTTCCTGAAGTGAAGGACTTCCGTGTTGCTGACCGACTTGCCAGCTTTTCGGTGGATGGTGAAGGTGATCAGCTCGTGGTCGCTGTCACCCAGCTTCCCATCGATCACTAGGTCGCCGACTAGGTCATCCCCAGTAGCCAGTACCAGGTCGAGCAGCGCTTTGCCTCTCGTTGGCCCATAGACTTCTTGAGTCAGGTAGAGGTCATCCACGCACGAGAGGAAGCTTTGCGACCGCTCAGATTTTGCTGAGCGATCCTCCCACGAGATTACTACCTGTTGATCCTGACAATCCAGCCAGCTTTCTATCCACTTTACAGTCCATTAATCCAGCCCATACTTGCTCAGTTTGCTTGCAAGGATGCTGTGGGAGACGGTATCAAAAGCCTTGATAAAGTCAAAGTATATTATGTCCACTGCTTTTCCTGCATCCACATAGCCAGTTATCTCATCATAAGGCAATCAGGTTGGTCAGGCATGACTTGTCCTTGGTGAATCCATGCTGACTCTTCCTAATCACCTTCTTGTTTTCCAAGTGCTTAGAAATGGATTCCTTGAGGACCTGCTCCATGATTTTTCTGGGGACTGAGGTGAAGCTGACTGATTTGTAGTTACCTGGATCATCCTTCTCTTTCTTACAGATGGGTGCCATATTTGCCCTTTTCCAGTCATTTGGGACCTCCCCGATCGCCACAAGTTTTCAAAGATAACAGGCAGCGGCTCTGCAGTCACATCAGCCAACTCCCTCAGCACCCTCGGTTGCATTGTATATGGCCCCATAGACTTGTACACATCCAACTTTTATAAATAGTCCCTAACCTGTTCTTTCATCACTGAGGGCTGCTCACCTCCTCCCCAAACTGTGCTGCCTGGTGCAGTAGTCTTGGAGCTGACCTGGCCTGTGAAGACCAAAATAAAGAAGGGGTTGAGTACTTCGGCCTTTTCCTCATCATCTGTCACTAGGTTGCCTCCTCTATTCAGTAGGGGACCCACATTTTCCTGACCTTCCTCTTGTTGCTGATATACTTGTAGAAACCCTTCTTGTTACTTTTCACATTGTCCCTTGCTAGCTACAACTCCAGTTGTGCTTTGGCCCTCCTGACTTCATCCCTTCATGCCCAAGCAATATTCTTATACTTCTCCAAGCTTCCACTTACAAGCTTCCTTTTTGTGTTTAAGCTCAAGCTGGTCACTTGCCACATTTGCTAGTCTTCCTGCGTATCAGGATGGTTTGTTCCTGTGCACTCAATGAGGTTTCTTTAAAATACAACCAGCTCCCTTGGACTCCTTCCCCTCTCAGACTGGCCTCCCAGGGGATCCTGCCCATCAGTTCCCTGAGGGAGTCCGTCTTCTTTTCTGAAGTCCAGGGTCCATGCTCTGCTGCTCTCCTTTCTTCCTTTTGTCAGGATCCTGAACTCAATCATCTCGTGGTCACTGCTGCCCAACTTGCCATCCACTTCTACATCCTCCATCTTCCTTGTTTGTGAGCAGTAGAAGAGCACATCCCTGTGTTGGTCCCTTCAACATGTGCACCAGGATGTGGTTTCCAATGCTTTCCAAAAACTTCCTGGATTGTCTATGCACTGCTGTGTTGCCGTCCCAGCAGATGTCAGGGTGATTGAAGTCCCCCATGAGAACCAGGGCCTGTGATCTGGAAACTTCTGCTAGTTTTCTGAAGAAAGCCTCATGTACCTCACCCTCCTTGTCTGGTAGTCTGTAGCAGACACCCACCACAACATCATTCCTTGTTACTCTCCCCTTTAACCTTAACCCAGAGACTTTTTCAACAGGCCTATCTCCAGTTTCATACCAGAGCTCTGAGTAATCATACAGTAGGGCTGTGCAAAGCTTCGGTCACTGGCTCAATTTGGCAGAGATTCAAATCCGAATCAAATACAGCCCATTTCACACACCCTATCATACAGGTGTTTTACATACAGCGCAACTCCAATTCTTCCTGCTTGTTTCCAAGGCTCTGTGCATTTGTGTACAGTTACCTGAGGTGACTAACCATTTGTCCTATGTTCTCATGAAGAATCAGGCCTCCCCTGCTGTCCCCTCCTGCTTCTGCTTCCTCCAGGTTCCCCGCTTCCCCACTTACCTTAGAAATGATTGATTTCTTGTATTAACTTGCTTTGAAAAGCAAGGCATAACTCTGTTTTTATGCTAACTTGATTTACCGTATTAATATTCATAAAGCTATGTATCATAGCCCTGCAAGCTTGGAATTATTTTAGCTTTTAGAATGGTTTTGTTATGTTTAAAAAGGAAGGATAATTTAATATATTTGTGTCTTTAATAATCTTATTGTAATAGTTGTTTAAAAATGAAATTTGAAATGATCTTATTTGTAATTCATACTTTGCAGTAGGAATTGCATCTGTTATGCCCCAAAATATGAGGTGTAGATTCATAGTTATTACTTGAAACGTTACAGGTCATAGCAGGAGATTAAGTTATAGGAGACGGGGCTTCCTTGTGCAAATGGGAGGTCACCATTTAGTTTCTCTAGAAGAATATCACTACAGCACTATGGAAGCCCATTGGTTGTTCCCCAAAAAGATATGCTGCCTCTGAAGGAGGTCTGGCAGAGAGAGAGATACCTAGAAAGTTTCCTGTTCCAATATGAATAGCCCCTTCAGCTTTGTCTTCACTTGGAAAAAAAGGTGTGCTTTTAACCCTAAATAGCTAACTCAAGGTAAAATCCTAGTGAAAACATTTGTAGTTTTCATGCAAGTCATTCAACCTGCTAACTCATCTGATCATAGAAATATACTGGTTGGTAATTGCAGGATCATAGTGTTGGAAGGGAGGGAACTCAAGGACCATCTGTCTAGTCCAGCCCTCTGCATTGATACAGTATAGGCTTTGTGGTTCCTAAACCATCCCAGATAGATGTCTCTCCAGCTTATTTTTGAAAAACTCCAAATAAGAAGTTTCATCAGCTTTCCTAAGCAGCTTTTCCCATTGTCTTATATATGTTACAGTTAAGACATTTTCCTGAGATTTGATCTAAATCTATTTGCTGTATTTTAAACCCCTTACATCATGATATCTCCAGACTAAACAAATGTACTGTATTTACCCAAAACCAAGATATTTTTTAATATAAGGCAACCCCCCAATAATTAGATTCTAGACATGGAAAAATTATGTTTGTTATAATTTTCCATGTGTAGAATCTAATAACTAGAAGGTTGTCTGAAATTTGTCCTCCATGCTGCTGCAGTAAGGCAAGCAACAGTAGGGGGACAGGCATCCTGACCCCCACCTTTTACCACCCCACCTCACCATGCCTGTGCCCCCTGTTGGAGCTGCAGCAGTCTGTCTCGCGTGCCCCCCCTCCATCCACCTTGTTCTCAAATACAAGAGAAGGGGGTTCCTCCCTTCCCCACCCCCCATGTTGAATGGGGCAGAGCAGGAGAATGGGAATTTGGGCAGAGTTGATTGAAAAACTTCAAATACTGAATAATAAATAGACTAGTAAATTACTTGAGAATTTTGCAGGAGCTAGCAAAAAGGCTGCTGGTGAATTTGTGGGGGTAGAGGGTGGGAGATTTGCCTTTGCCTTTGGTGTTGTTGTGAGTTCCTCTAGCTCATGACTACAAGGGTTCACTGGAAAAGTTCCCAATCCCAGCAATCATCCATCCTCAGACTTCTACTAACAAGGTTACCCAGTACTAAAGGGAGCGTGCTGCAGAGAACTGCTGCTTAAAGCAGGCAGAACCTGACTACAGTTTGTAAAGTATGGTTTCCAGGGGTTCTCTCCACTTTCTACCTTCAGTATGCTTTCTTTTATTGAATCTGGTCTCCAAAGATGGGTCAGTTCTAGAGTTGATTAGAACTATGAGTAGTTTTCCCTGCAAGAAGAAAGTGGTTTTACTTCTAGCTTGTTAAAATACCAAATAATGTGGCCGCGAAGGAGGCCTTTTTGTAATGTAATATAAACTACGCTTCTACGGTAATTCCACCAAACATTTTCTAGATCCCATGTATGATTTAGTACAGGTACAAACTTGGATTTTATTATTTGAAAATTTTCAGTTCATTAGGCATTATCTTGTATTTGCTGATTACGGGCACTGATTTCTCTCTTGTGATCTGGGTGTTGATTTGGCACCAAAAAGCTATACAGTAAGCCTGACCATAGCTAACAGTTGCTATTGTATAATAAAAGCAATACCCGAGTAGCACAGACCAAATAAATGCTGTTCTTTAACCTTTGAACATTACTACAGCCTCCATATTTATTATCTTCTCATGTGAAATATTTAGCTATCTTCTTTGAACAGAATTTACATTTTCAGATCAGTTCATATTGTTCTTTTTTCTGGCCCCATAAATATTATAGCCTATTCTGATCCTACTTGATTCTGCAGATATTTGCAGGTACTGGAAGTAAACTATTACCCAAGTCATAACATGGTGTGTAAACCAAAATATGTCCTTGCTTTTATGTGTAAGGATAAGGGAGAGATATACAGAGCTATAGCAGCCAGAAGGAGCTATAATGTCAGGGCAGTTGCAGGAAGGAGTGTTCTTCATTGCTAATGGTGAAAGATATGTTCCATCAGTACTAAAATCAGGCACTGGTAGGTGTGCAGCAAGGATAAGGACCTGTTCTCATCGTCAGCCTGGCTTCCTGTGCTGACTTGAAGTTTTCCTCTTAGTGCTTAAGGGCTACTAGCTTTGGTACTCTGCCTAGACTTGGCATACGGGTTGTGGAAGGCACCTCATACCCTCTTTTTCCTTGGTATACTAGAACAAGAATAGTTAGACTTTTACTCATTGTTAGTGGCACACAACCATAATAATTGTTGCTATAAATTCAACAGAGTTCAGTATTGTGCTGTTATGCAACTGTCTGCATGCATGTGTAGCAGAAGGGAAAGTACTGGCATTTGATTTTGTATATTGGAAAATGTTACTTGAGGCTTGAAAGTAGATTGTTTTTTATATTTTGCAGAAAAGATAAAATGCTTTCATTCATTTATATTTTATTTTTATATATTTATAGCAAACTTTCTTCCTATAATGACTGCTGTGCAGCTTTAGCAGATTGCTCCAGATGTTATATCTTATTTTTAGCCCTCCTAAACAAACACCAAAAGAAGCAGGTCAGTTTTTTTCATCTCTTTTTTTTTTTTTTTAATCCTGTGTTGTGTCTCTGTGTTACTGTATGTGTGTAAGCCCATTTTCAGTGACCTACTTTCCTGTGCATTTATGAGATAAAAAATTAGAACGGTTGACAGCATTTCTAAGTAGTAAATTATTGAAATGGAATCATTTAGATTCAGGGCAGTGGGGAAAGACAGACAATTGATTAACTTGTCTGTCCTGAGCATATATGAAAGCTGCCTTCTGAACACTTAATATTTTTCAGGTTTTAAGCAATTATTAAAGCAAATAATTTATTAAATAGAAAAGTTTTCTGTATCTAAAATTGCTTGATTACTGGTTGAGAAACTCAGTGTAAAAAGTTATAACTTATCAGTACTGTATTTACTCAAATATAATACAAGTTTTTCCCCCCCAATCAGCAGGGGAAAAAGCCCCTTGTCTTACCTTTGCATACAGGAAAACCTCTTCATTAAATACATCATCTGTCATTAAAATGCTGCCAGAAGCAGCACGTATTCAGTAATGGAGAACAGCTATGAAGCCGACTGAATGCAGCCCATGCTGAGCATTCCTGGAAAACACATGGCCCATATTGGGCAAAAGTAGTGATGGGAACCTACCACAAAGCTCAGCCCTTCTCAATAAGATATAGTGCCTGATAAGCTCAATCCACCTCTGTCAAATTTTTCAACTCGTGGTGAACCATAAGAACCTAAGAATTGCCATTTACTAGGTCAGGCCATAGGTCCATCTTGCCCAGTATTCTGCATAAACACCGTGGCAGAGTGGACCCTGAAAGGGTGCATTGGGTATGGCCAGGGTTTCTTCCCCCACTGCTCCTTTTTAATTTGTAGCCTCCAGCATTTAAAGTCTAGGAAGTTCTAATTCAGAGGCTGTATCCCTAACTCCCATGCTCAATACCTACTTATGCCCTTTTCCTCCAAGAATCTGTCCAATCCCTCTTTTAATCTAGCTAAACTGCCAGCTTCAACAACATCTGGTGGAAATGAGTCCCACCCTTTAATTACATGCTGTACAAAAAAGAATTTCCTTTTGTTGGATTTAAATTTACTACCTACTAGTTTTATTTTGTGACCCCTAGTTGTTTTATTTTGAAAGAGTAAATAATAAATCCCTATTTACCTTCTCTTCACCGTTTAGTGTTTTGTAAACCCTTATTATGTTCCTCCAGAGCATCTTTTTTTCCCCAAGTAGGCCTACTCTCTTTAGTTTCTCCTTTTATGGAAGCTGTGATAAGGGCAACTTCCAGGCCCGGTGCCAATACCAGTCTGCCCCCATCTCTAGGCAAACCACCCACCTTGCTCGCCTGCCACTCCTTGTTGTTATCTAATTAAGATGTTAAGTAGTCAGGAGGCTGCCCTTTGAGTGCCCTAGTTGTAACGGGGCAGTGCTTACACACTCCAGCCTCCCATTATGTGTCCCATGCCTTGCAGATGTTTCCTCCAGTGTTTGCATTGGTTCTTCCTTTAGACAGGCAAACATACAAATGTACACAAACACACACTGGGCCCCTGGCCCCACATACTGGGCTTGCAGCCCTCTGTTCCCCCTCACTGGGGCTCAACACCGCCCCCTCGCTGGGGCTCCTCTGGGATCTTCCACCCCGTGGGGCTCAGGTGGCCACAGCCATGCCTGCCCCCCTCTCAGGGCTGCTGCAACCTCAGGTCTCATGGGAAGCCTGGGCGCTGCTCCAGGTCCCTCCACCGACCTGGACCCTGCCTCAGGACTCCTGTGAGCCGGGGCTCCCCCTTTGTAGATTGAATCCACCAGGGATGTGGGGGATGGGGTTTTTAGGTTCCCTTCCTTGCCTTTCACTAGGGTGGTATCTTGCCTGGCATTTCTTGAGGGTTCCCATGACACCAGGAGCCCCACCAAGCCACCCTTCCCCAGCAGGGTGCGATTTCAAGTCACGCCCAGGACCGATGAGGCCTCCTCCTTCCCCATAGCCTCATCCTTACCTCCAAGATGATCCTGGAGCCAGAGCTCAGGAGGGAGATGTTTCTTCCCTGCTGGCTGGTCTCAAACTGCTCTCCCCACCTGCAAGGAGCTGAGCATTAAATGGCCGCCTGCATCAGGCACCTGCCTTCTCGCTGGTCTAGCCCTTAAAGTAACGGAGCACTAAGGCTGCTCTGTCACAGAAGCCCCTCCATGCTATTGATCATCCTCGTTGCCCTTCTCTGTACTTTCTCTAAGTTCTTCTATATCCTTTTTGAGGTGAGGGTACTAGAACTGGACACAAGATTCAAGGAGTGGATACACCATGGATTTGTAAAGAGGCATAATAATACTTTCTGTTCTATTTACAATTTCCTCCTTAATAATCCATACCATTTAGTTTGCCTTTTTGACAGCTGCTGAGCAGTGAGCCAGTGTTTTTAGCAAACTATCCACAATGACTCCCAGATCTCTTTCCTGTGTGGTAACAGCTAATGTAGAGCCCATTGTAGTGTAGATATAGTTTGGGTTATTTTTGCCCAGTTGCATCACTTTACCCTTATCTATATTGAACTGCATCTACCATTTAGTTGCCCATTTGCTGTTATGCTAAATCCTTCTGTAATTCCTCATAGTCTACCTTGGTCTTTATCACTTTGAATAGCTTTGTGTACTAGTCAAATTTGGCCACCTCGCTACTTGCCTCCTTTTCCAGATCATTTTTTAATATGTTAAACAGTCGTGGTCCCAACACAGATCCCTAGAAGAGTCTGCTGTTTACTTCTTTCCATCCTGAAAACTGACTCTTTATAGTCACTCATTGCTTTCTATATTTGAGCCAATTACTAATCTAAGAGTGGACATTCCGTGTAGTCCCCTGACTACCTAATTTAGTTAAGAGCTTCTGATGGGGGACCTTGTTAAAGGCTTTTTGGAAGTCCAAAGATACTGTGTCAACTAGATTGCCCCAATTCACCTGCTTATTGACAGCCTCAAAGAACTATAATAGGTTGGTGAAGCATGATTTCCCTTTGACAAATCTGCATTGATTCTCCCCAATAAGTCATGTTCATCCATGTGCTGAACAACTCTTTCTTTTTCGTTTCTAGCATTTTTCCAGAAACAGAAGTTAGGTTTACTGGCCTGTAGTTCCCTGCATCCTGTCTAGAGCCTTTTTTAAATATGGAGTCACATTGGCATCCCTCCCTGTAGAAACAACTCAAAATAGTGAACCACTACATTGAATACATTTCAACTTCCTCTTCACTCCCACAGCTGAGCAGCACCTTTCTTTCCCATTTCTGATGTTTCCTATTTCTTCACCAGCCTTAAATGTCTGGCAGACGTCACAAAACTTCTCTGTAGATGAGAGGCTCTGTTGCCCCCTCTCTTGGCCCATTGCATCTGACCTGTGTGGCCCCATCCTCCGTGAGGTAGAGGCAAACCAGGTGGTTCTATGCCTCATCTGCATATAAATTTGTGGAGGGTTCCAGGACTTGTAACAACACATGGTTCCAGTCATTAGTGAGGAGCCAATTAGCAACATGGATTCTTTGTGAGGAGTATCTGGATTACACACACAGTGAGCAGTGCTGAGCTGTGGGGTCACCATGGCTTGAAATGCTGTTGACTCTGGTGGGGCCCAGCCTAATGAACTATGTGATAAATCAAACTTTTTGTCTTTGGACTAATATCATGCATAGTTTGTACTATATATAAGTAAGTACAAAAATACTGCTTAAAAGTATGTTTGTAGAATACTTGTACTAAATCTTCCAGCAATTTGCAAAAAAAGATGAAATGGATCAATTCTGGATTAACTAAATCTGTAAATACCTGTAGTAATTTGCACATATGCAAATTAATACTGGTATGTTTATTTTGAAGTCAATGTTTTTTGGTTCCCTGTGTTTCAGATTAGACGCGGATTGCTCCATCCCTTGTTTTATTGTGCTTAGAGAAGCAGCAGAGCCTAAGCAGGGTCTCATAGTAAGAGGGGGAAAGGGCTAACCTACAAAGATTGAATCAATTCAGGCTCGGCTTTTTGAATGTCTGTCCCTAGCCTGGGTCTAGTTAATGACTCAACTTGCCTTCTGTTGCTAATCTGTCCATTCTCTGGCCCTCCTGGCTATTTTTGTGAAAACCTACTATTGCATTGAGCTCAATTATATAGTCAGCCCTCAATAACACTAGGTAGCTACAAGGTACCTATTGTTTACAATCAGTCATTTATAGTGATCATAGATTAATATTGAACAGCCACATGCCCTTACTGGAGGTGCTAATGTTGCTGTTATATTTATTTAAATTAATAAATTTGCCTCTCCAGTGCTCTTGAGAGCATTATTGGTGTTCCCTTTGCTTTGAGGCATCCTAGTCTTATGAGACGATGATTTTTTTTAAGTTAACTGATTTTATGTTCTGCAGTATTTCAGTGATAAGTTTCAATATCTGCTTGTGGATTCTATTTTTATTTTGAGTTAGCATGATGTCTTTTCTCCTAGATCTATACTTTCATCATTTTATTTTATAAAACATGTTTTTTTCAATTTAGTAGTGCCTGAGATGAATACAAAACCATAAATTTGAATTACAAGCAGACCCACCAAATCAATTAATTGTTATTATGACTGGCCATTAAAGAGCCATTAAAAATTATAATACAGTATTTTCTCCTAAGATCTCTTCATGTACAAAGAAATATAATTCAGGAGATGTTAGGATATAATTAATAATTGATGATTGAGTCTCTCTCTCTTATTACATTTTGCATATGAAAAAGATACTTCCTAGGATAAATATTTTGAAAAATCTTAAGGAAATCTTCCTGCTTATTAATATAACCAGCCACAGAGGGTCACCCTTTCCCTTTCAGTATTTCTGACAGAATGCCTACCTAACAAAGTGTATGACTCTGGAATATTCTGGTTATGATGTGTGTATTTCTTTAAACAGGTTTTAATAGGAAAATATATGCTCTTGGCACATAGTTGACTTTGAGTATGTAGAGCTCAGACTTACAATAACTAGGGACCTACTT